AAGACAGACTAGAAATTTATTAATTATAATGATGCTGGCCAATAAACCACTGCACCTTACTGCGGGAAAACTTTTTCCTATGACAATGGCTACGTTTTGCAATGTAAGATTTTCTATAAATTAACTTAAAATAAACTTAATTGTTACAGATAAAATTCTCGTTATGAGCATTATATGTATAAGGCTTCGTTATAAAACAAAGTATCAAATATTTCTTTTATTTACTAACATTAAAAATTGAGAATCACTAAACGATATTAAAATTTTTATGTCGTAAAATATAAATATTTTTTAAATATACATATATTATTTAATTATACAATTGTGACATTTTATAAGCAAATAAATTGCAATAGTGACAAGAAACACACGCGTTTGTGTATTAATATCTAATTTACATTATAGAAAAACAATTAGAATAATAGGAAATATATAAAAATTTTCAATAACGTTATATTTATTGATTGATAATGCGAATAATAACCAAATTTAATATAATTTGTATTAATATAAAATTCATACCTATCTGATTATTTGTATAACTTTATTATATTTCAGTTGTTAAAAACATCGGGTGGTTACATATCAGTTTTACTGGCACATCGTAATTAAATTTAAATTACATTTAACTATAAAACAAATTCACAATATTTTGATTAACAAAATCAAATTACATAGTAAATATATATTTAACTATAACTATGTTTAATTATTAATGTAGCAATCGATTTTATTACCAGTCGATTCTACGTTGTTATCTCAGTCTTTTTGTACTAGTATTGTTTAAGTATATCTCTTTTTGATAAAAATAATGAATTAAATAAATGAATTTGATTTAAATTTACTGCTGCAGCTTTAAAATAATTTTTGTACTGTGTCCTTTTAAAATAATGTAAAAATGGCAATTGTTCAGCAAATCATGTGTTCTGCAAATAAACCGTGAATGTTGTTTAGGTAAGTTTTATTACTGTATGTAAAAAGAAAAATAGGACTTTCTAGTTCAGCTTAACGAAATCTGCCTCTATACAAACGGATAAACATCTTATTCGGGGAACACCCTGCATACAATCTTTATACATTAAATATTACAACCTATGGTGCGATTATTTCGGTTACATAAGTTTTCACTAAAACTTGGTGAATGAATAAAGTTTTAATAAAGTAGTATAGTTTTCCATTGAATAATTGAGAAAAAGAGATAATACATGTATCTATACATTTACACATACATATATACTTTTGTAAATTATATGACAAAAAACCATTGTTCAATTTACTCTCTTATTCAGAAAAACAATATCTCATTCGAAATATTACACGTAATTCTGGTTTGTTGATTAGAAATATTCTTTCACCTTAAAAAATTATTGAAACCGTAAATGACGAAAGAGAATGGCGTTATGCTAAAACGTGCAAAATATATGTATACTTACTATATACTTACGATATTCAGATATTCCACGACGTTGGTGTCTTTCGGTTCGGTTGTAATTCTTGTAGTTTTCGGCAAGACACTTGACAAATAGAACAGATCCAAGCAACAATAATACCATTACGAATATATCACATTTATAATCAAGATACAAGTCTATTTTACAAGGCAACTCCATATCCATATTCTCCAGAGTCTCAGAAGAAAAATGCTAACGTCCGCCGTCATACACTGTAGTAGACAGTTTGCTAGTTTTTTCACGTATGTGGTCTCCCTCTCTCTTATTGTCAGCTGAAAAATCTCAAAACACCCATCATCTTGGAGGAATTTTAAAATTTCCAAAAGCTATATTACAGCCCAAATATCATATACATTTCATCAAGTTACGCAATTATCAAATTGATAGTTTTGCCAGCTTTTATATTTTTTACGAAACTAAAATAAATGATAGCATGATATGCTTGGCGAGCGTGGCGCAGAGAAATGTGCGCTGCTTAGTAAACAAATGAACGATAAGATCCGAGTTTGAATTCAAAACACAGATCACTGCACTTCATTCAAGATAAAAATTAAATACTTGATATTATTTGCATTTACTCATCTTTTAGGTGATGATCTCAAGGTCGCGATCGGTCGTCGGCACGTTCAATTTTCAGCATGTCGGTATTTCTCACTAATTTTACACGCAAAGGTTTCCACTGTGCTGCAGAAAATTTTTTATCGCACAAATACGTTACTCCCTGGATAAATTTATTACAAATAGCATGTATATTATATAAAATACTTATCAAGACTCTCGTTTTACTTAATTTATATATCTGTATGGTGTATGATATGATTTTGTGTATGGCTACTTAAATAATAAGCATATATTTTTCTTGAGTGAATTATATAAAATTGCCTCATTCAAGTAAGCTATTCTTTCTTTAACGCAATATAATCTTATTTCAAGATTTTCACGTTGAGACTATATTTTATAATACATTTCCAAAAGAAGAATATATTCTTTTCTCTGTGCATCTGTTATAATGCATGATTACCCATGAACTGATTAAAGATAATAAACAGTATCTTAATGCCATTCTTAAATCAATACTATTCAATTGCGATCTCTACGATGATATCGTCAGCGATAACAGTTGAATACCGTACTAATGTTATTCACAGCTGCGTACATATGTTGACATGTATATAAACTGTACCATATGCGTTACAGTGCCTCTGAATTTTGTCAGGCGCGGTGTGAAAGCAAATCTACACAATGACGCAGCTAGCGTGTATCCTGATCGCATTGGCGATCGTAGGTAAGTTATGCAGCAAGCTTGATAAGAGTTTATTCAGCAAGTAGTTAATTTAACAAGTTTCACATAATTAAATTTCTTCATTCTCATCTTACTAAAAGCATTATACAATATATTTCAATTTTTAATATTGCGTATTTTGGAAAAATTATTAACACACATTGTATGATATTACAAAACTACTTTACTGTACGTTTATAGGTGTTTATGGCGATGAACCAGAAAAGTTAGTAAATGGAATACCAGCAGACGTAAAAGACTATCCGCATTGTATCTCCATAAGAGCTAACGGCAACCATATGTGCGGTGGTAGCATAATTGATAAGCAATACATTCTAACTGCCGCGCATTGCGTGGTGCCTCTAATGCAGGACTCCCGTCTAAGGGAATCTGTGACCGTTGTTACTGGCACGACCTATCTCAACGCAGGCGGACAGGCTCATAAGGTGGAAAAAATGTGGTACCACGATAATTATAATCTTCGCGCTTTAGGCAGAAGCAGTAACGACATCGGTTTGATAAAGGTACAGTGACACATTTGCGATATGCATATTCGATATACTTTTGGTTATATTAATAACAAAAGAAATGATACAGATATCAAATAATAAAACATTACTTTAATCACTTTTACAGTTTAGTTTATTAGTATAAATTATTTTTAGTTGACTGAGCCCATCGAGTTTGGCCCAACACAGCAGGCAATTAAGCTCCCAACAAAAGATATAGCTAAGGGTGATGCAGTTACGATTGCCGCCTGGGGTTCTACGGGCTTCGGAAAACCTATACATGACAACTTGCAGAAATTGAACGCGAAAGCAATGCTTCCGGAAGAATGCCAAGCTTATCACTCATTTTTAATGCACATTAACAAGAACGAAGTCTGTACCCTCATCACCAAGGGAACTGGATTATGTCATGTATGTAATATTACATTATATCTAACAAAGTGCTTGGATTTAATTTGTTGCGCGTTCTCTTTATATTTAATATAAATATTGCCCGTTTGTATACACTGAGGAAAAAATATTAAATTAAAATTATATTTTTTTTATTCAACTATTAGCGTCCCTCACGGGCGTCGCTCACTGTCGAGCAAATATTTGTTAAATCACAAAAACATTTGTTAATTCAAAAAATATATAAATGGTGTATATTCAAGTTAAAAACATATCTGCCTAACTAAAGAAATACTGCCAACTAAATATATTTAGTCATATCAACAATACTTTTCAGTGTACATAAAAATATGCACGTTGTAATTATCCTTATTCAATCATAACGCTATATTTAACAATATTTGCGTTACAGTATTACATTTTTATATCTTGTCTAGAATAATATTTTATATCATAATTAATTTATATTTATAATAGCATTGATTCTCAAAAGTAGAATTATCATATACCTCATTTTCTCTTTATTAACTTAATATTAATTAATTATCAATATTCTAATTTTTTGATTCAGCATACCACGAAAGATATTATCAATATTTCACGAACGATACAATAATAGTCTACTTTTCTGTTACAGGGTGACAGTGGTAGCGGACTGATTCAGGACAGCGACGGAACAATTATCGGTCTGGTGTCTGGCGGAAGGCCGTGCGCCACAGGTTACCCAGATGTATACACCAATGTTTTCCGTTACGTTTCTTGGATCAACGAAAAAATGAACTAATATCGTTCTCTTTATGTATTCTATTACCTATACATATATTCTTAATATTTAATAAAAACTATTGCGCAAATGTTAATTTTATTATCCATATAATAAATATATATTATTATTAATGTACTTTATTTGTATAGACATTTGTATAGACGTCATTAAATTCTCATCATGTGTGCGTACAAAAAGTAGCTAAAATTTACACTGAGTTTAAAATTTACTAAAAATTTACTTGAATTTATTTTACATGTTTATTTCAACAAAATAATTCATTTATCAAGTTTCTTAATTAATTATATAATATCCATAAAATTATTTTAATTATAATAGTAATATTTAAAAATATAATTTAATAGAATATATTTTTTAAACATGTATACATATATTATTTTTCAGCATCTATTAACGTACGAGTACAAATATTTTTAATTAAAGCCAAAAAAGGCAAGGATTTGCTTTACATTCCAACAAAATGCAGAAATATATTTAAAATTGTAACAAACAATTGTAGTTAAGTAAGCCCTAATACATAGTATGCAGTTATGCATTTTGCGTGATATTGCGATACGGTCACATTTAGTGATAAATGCACACTGACAATTATAAGTCCGCATATATTGTAACACATGGTTATAACCGAACGTATAACTGTTTTGTATTTCAAGTTTTTTTTCGAAGTTGCATGGCTTTAGTGAAACAGAGGGAAATTTCAAACTTTAGCTTGGAAAACTTTGAAGTATAGCTAATGACAGTTTCAATGAAATAATCGATAGTGCGGTACAACAGGCTCGGTTTTAAAATTTTTCATACAAGCATATAATACATGTAAACGAAAAATATATAAATGAATGAAAAATCATATTTTCTTCCAAATAAATTGATTTTAATAAAAAATAAACGAATTTTAAAATAATTAAATAATTGGACGTATAGATGCTACGATATAAATTATTTCTTTAATTTGATTTCTTCTTCAATAATTTATTTTACACGTAATTTTATACTTGTATAAGTGCAAATAAATCCTTTCACCACTTAAAGTAATGTATCAATTAAATACAATATAATCCATATATACCAGGTTGAAATTTTTGAAAGTATATGCGGCCCTGCATTAACATCGTGCACTTTTTTGTGCTGCATGGCATTAAGCAGTTTCTCAACTACAAAGTGAACCGACCGACTATAAACATCGTCCACCGCAACATGCTCGTTACAAGTGTTGCATTGTTAATATGTGACGTGCTCACCTGTAGGGTAGTATTATGCTGAGCATTATCCGTCACACGTAATGACAATAAGATGAAAAAGGGAAACTTAGTACCTTCGCAGTTGCCGGAATGGATGTTTCGAAGTATTCAGCGTATGCAGGTGTTCGTTCTTTTCCTTAATCAGTTTATATAGATGTGTTAGAGGAATAGAAAGAGTTTTCTCAGGTGTATAACAAAGAACAAATTACATTTCCAATTATTTTCTACAGAACAAAATCGTTGCAAAAATACCAGCTAAAATATAATAAAGATATAATCATGTCAATTTGAAAAGGGCTACATTTGTCTCTCTAAAAAAATACTGTTAATACAGAAAATAATAATAAATTGTGAATATATGCAATATAAATACAAACTCGTACATTTTTCAACAAAAAGGGGAGAGCAAGAGAAAGAAAATAAATATAATAATTATATAATATTCATAATCAACGGAGTGATTTGATTTTATTAAAATTTTTTTTCGCATCTGTCTCTTTAAAAGCAGATTATGAATGGGCTGTCGGATTAAATCGGATTATCTTAAGAGTGTTAGGCGTTTGGCCGAATAATAACGAAACGAAACAGAACAAATTAACATCTAATATACGTACGTTTCTTATATTAAACGTTCCACTCTGTTGCTGCTTCATTCCAACTATACATTCTTTGCTCAAAGTGTGGGGCGATTTAATGTCTACGATTGATAATCTGCAATACACTTTGCCATTTTTGATGGCACTAATAAAACTTTCTTTTGTATGGCTAAGACAAAAAGGTAATATTTGTATATATATACTTTGGTAAAAATTATATACACAATATAATATTAAGAAAAACTGTTTTACAACCTTACTATACCTTATTGTAATTAGCAGTATCCTGCTATAATTGTAAGCTTACTTATAACATACGTAATTCTGTTTGTTGATCGCAGATGTTCTTCCGCTTTTAAACATGATTAAGGACGATTGGCTAAAGTCGAAAATAGCGCAAGAAAGAGCCGTTATGATAAAACACGCGCGAATAGCACGTCTATTCACGATACTAGGATATTTTATGATGTCGGCATCTTTTATTTTGGCTGTGATTCTTCCAATTTTCGGCATTTCAATGAGATACTTAACAAATAAAACAGATCCTGGCAAATTACTACCGATGCAAACGTATTATATTTACGATCGCGATAGAAGTCCAATTTACGAAATAACTTATGTCCTGCAGAGTTTCGGTTTGCTGGCGGTCGGTGCTATGTACTCTAGTGTAGACAGTTTCTTAAGTATGCTCATTTTTCACGTGTGTGGTCAGCTGGAAAATCTCAAGATGCGTATCATCCATCTGGATAAATTTCAAAATTTTGAGATTGCTCTATCGCACAGCGTGCAGGATCACATACGTCTTATCAGGTTATATTATTAAAACATTTTCCAACTTTGTCTACTGTTTTTTGCTAAAGTAAATAATTGAAACTACTAAATGTCTTAATTCAACCGTGTTGTTCACAATTAAAAAATACATACTTTAATTTTTTCATTTATACACAATTAAAAAGGATTATTCAAATACACGTAAAATCTAAGATAATTTAAGTAAAAAAAAATGCTTTACGATTCATATAAAAACATTTTCTCTAACATGATGTAAACTGACCTTTTTTAACTTGAATATTATAACACAAATAATAAAAAAAATATTTATTGACTTTTTCTAACTTTCTTTTGCAGATTTATTAATAAGATTGACGATATATTTACAGTAATACTACTTGGTGCGCTGTTTTACTTCGGCATACTATTTGCGTTTTATGGTTTTTTAGTGGGCACTGTAAGTATTCTTTCTAATTTACTTTTGCCTACCGATAACATATTATATAATATATTATGGACATCTAATTTTTGGAAAATTTTCTCAAAGTATAACAAGTTTATACGTATACATAGGTGCGCACAAACACTTGCGTATTGTCTCACATATATCTTCCGAGAAACATTATCGTAAAAAAGTCTTGTCACATATTTCTTAATTTTTAATATTATATTTATACATTTCATTGCTGACTTTTTATAAAATAATTAAAAATGTACAAATGAAAAATATATGTTTGAAATTTTATAATAGAAGTAAATATATAAAAATTAATATTTTAAATTATAACTAATGTAATATGAATAATGTTGAGATTTTTTATGTTCCTAATATATTAAAAATTGATTACAAAAGAATAAAGTTATACTTATCACACTAGTATTGCAAAGTTGGTAACAGCTATACAAAATAAGAAATTTGTTACACACGCGTGCACACATATTCACTTACTATGAAATTGAGAGAAAAAGTAAACCTAGTGCAATAATGCGTAAACGAAAGTTACATAATTTCGAAAAGAAAAATTCATTTCGAGAATAAAGCTCTCTGGACTTATCTCATAGCAAGACTTTACAATCGCACAATCTACGGAAGAGAAAAACCGCCCAACTGCGAAGCTCCAAAAATCTTATTTACGTCTAATGTGTATTTCTCATCTAATTGCGCGCACTTACAATTTTTTTCTTCCTAAAAGCAACACAGATTGCAAATAACTTTCACAGAAATTACAATTTTTCAAGAATCTTAACTTATGAATTTAACACCGCAGATCACTTATTCACTCAATTTCCCAAAATTAAACATATAATTCCATTTATATTCATTTGTTTAGATGGTGACTCAAGGTTACAGTCTGTCGGTGCCACGTTTAATTTTCGTTATAACGACATCTGTCAATACATTTGCACACACATGTCTCTATTGCACTGTAGGAGAAATTTTGGTTGCACAAGTACGTTACTTTCTTGATCAACTTATACACAAAATATAAATTATACAGTCTGCTAATTAAGATACTTATTCTAATGTACGTATAACATAATTAACAATTTTACGTATAACTATTATTTGTCAAGTGTGAAGGAGTTTACGATGCCGCATGCAAATACAAATGGTACAAGTTGGAACCAACGAAAGCAAGGAACATAATGATCATAATGATGCGGGCCAACAAATCATTATGCCTTACCGCAGGAAGACTGTTTCCGATGACGATGTCCACGTTTTGTAACGTAAGCCAGTTCAGAAATTACTCAAGTTACACTTTTTTTAACATTTTATATTCTTGACGTGAACAATATAAGATTACGAAATAACAAAAACTTGAATGTATTGTTATACACAATATAAGATATTATCTGTAAGGGTTTTCATTTTTATCTGAAAATTATAATTTATATAACATTTTCTATAATCAAATATTTCAAGTACAACTGAAACAAATGAAGTATGTTTTGCATAAATGGATAATTAGCATCTGAAAAATACTATTAACATTTATAGGCTATTCCAGGAATCAAAATAACTATTTAATCATCTACTAAAATAATATAAAGAATATAAACTACATTTTATAATTAAGTAGTGTACAGGGTGTCGGATTCGATTTGGACGACTCCAAAGATTACAGTAGATTGGGTCAAGCTGAGAAGAAAAGTTATATACCATTTTACAAAATTCGTAATTATTATCGCGTAATTAAGAAAAACGTCTGAGCCAATAAGTGCACGGAGGAACTGAAGGCCGGACTCGGCAGACATGCAAAATGGTGTATTATTCTCCTACTACCAGAAAAACTTTTTCGGCGCGGTGTCATATGTCGCGCGTTCGCTCGCTGTGCGCCGTTTGCCCGCTCACCGCTCCCCGCTCGCCCTCGTCTCTCGTCGATCGATGCGTGACTCCACCTCTCGCTATCGCATCTTGAGAAATGTCAACAAATACACCATTTTGCATGTCTGCCGAGACCGGCCTTTCGCTCCTCCCTGCACTTATTGGCTCAGACGTTTTTCTTAATTACGCGATAATAATTACGGATTTTGTAAAATGGTATATAACTTTTCTTCTCAGTTTAACCCAATCTACTATAATCTTTGGAGTGGTCCAAATCGAATCCGACACCCTGTATTGTATACATACAATAAGAAAAGTAAATGTAGTTTTATATCATTAAGTTAATTTTACACAGAAATATGCATTTTTATAAATATTATATTTGTAGTTGTTAAAGACATCGGGCGGCTATATATCCGTTTTGCTGGCACATCAACAATAAAAACAGAAACCTACAAAAATGTGAGATAAAAACTTGAGTTTAAATTCTCATATCGGGAAATAACAATTGATATAACTATGTACTGATTTAGTCACGTAATTTCAATTAAAAAATAAATATAAAAATGATTAAATTTACTATTATAAGATATACATGTCTTATTTACTTGTTAAAACTTATCAAATATACATGTGTATGACAAATGTTGGATTATTTTTATTTAAACGATACATTATTTTCAATATTGTTGAAATAAGTTACGTAATAGTTATTATAAATTAAAATTACAAAATTATTAAAATTAAGCTGTTAAGAAGATTATAAAAAGTAAGTAAACAAGGCACACCAATTTGTCATGGCTATAACTATTTACTCCATATTTTACTGTTACATATGAACCATATACTGTATATAGTGTACGATCATAAATACTTTCAATTCAAGACAGAAAAGACAAACCTTATTTTACCTACCCACAGAACGCAAAAATATATTTAAAACAATTGTAACACAGTACGCTGTATAGTATGTACATAGCATGCTGTCATGCATTTTGTGTGATAATGTGATACTGTCACAGTTAGTGATAAATACGAACTGACAATTCTAAGTCTGTATATGTATGCACACACAGCTATAACCACTGTTTTGTATTTCAAGTTTTGCTTTCGAAGCTGAATGGCTTTAGTGAAACAGAGGGAAATTTCAAACTTTAGTTCGAAAAACTTTGAAGCATATAGCTAACGACAGTTTCAGTGAAGTGATCGATCAATAGTGAGGTACCACAGGATCGGTTTTAAAAATTTCCAGACAAACATGTAATGAACAAAAAATATATAAACGAAAGGAAAATCATGTTTCTTCCTAACAAGCCGACTCTGTACAAAGAACAAACAAATTTTAAAACGATCAAACCAAATGCCACTCTAAAAATTATTCTTTTAATTTAATTTTTTTTAATAATTACATTTAGTTCCATATTTCTGGGTAAACAAATTTTCTTACTACTTAAAATGTGTTTATTGATTGATTACAATAATATACGTGTATAAAAACCTATCGCTTCGTTCAGCCATACACATATATTGGGTTAAAACATTTTCGGAAGCATATTGCGGCCCTGCATCAACGCCGTGCACTTTTCTGTACTGTCATAACACTAAACAGTTTCTCAACTACAAAATGAACCAACCGACTATAAACATCGTCCACCGCAACATTCTCGTTACAAGTGTTGCATTGTTAATATGTGACGTGCTCACCTGTAGGGTGGTATTATAAGCATGGTACATCACACGTAACGACAATAACAGTAAGACGAAAAAGGGAAACTTAGTCCCTTCGCAAGCGCCGGTATGGACGTTTCGAAGTATTCAGCATACGCAGGTGTCCGTTCTTTTCCTTGATTAAATTATATAGATATATTAGAACAATAGAAAGAGTTTCCTCAGGTGTATAACAAAGAACAAATTATATTTCAAATTATTTCTAGAGAATAAAATTGTTGCAAAAATGCCAGCTAAAATGTAAAAGAGATGTAAATTTATCAATGTGATAAAAAATTACACTTGTCCCTTTAAAAATCATAGTTAATACAGAAAATTATCGTGTCTTACATTACATATCACAACAAAATGTCACTGAACTATTTTCTTACTGAAGTACATTCTTTCATTACACATACACACATACTGCATATATGTCATTTTCTATACGTAATTTATACTTCTGCATATTATTGTAACGTAACAAGATTGAATATTTATCTTGCAAGTACGTAAAATTAAAATACTTCCATTTCTTAACAAAAACAAGGAAGAGAGAAAGAGAAAAAATATAAATGAAAAAAAGGAGAGAGTAAAAGTGAGGAAAAAAACATGCAATAAAAAAACAAAAATACATGATAATTACATAATATTTATAATAAAAAAAGTGACTTGATTTTATTAAAAACTTTATTCGCATTTATCTCTCTAAAATCAGATTATAAATGGGCTGTCGGATTAAATCGGATTGCCTTGTCAGTGTTGGGCGTTTGGCCGAAAAACAACAAAACGAAACAAGACAAATTAATATCCAATATACGTACGCTTCTTATATTAAACATTCCAATCTGCTTCTGTTTTATTCCAACTATAAATTCTTTGCTCAAAGTTTGGGGTGATTTAATGTCTACGATTGATAATCTGCAATATACTTTACCATTGTTGGTGTCACTAATAAAACTTTCTATTATATGGCTAAAACAGAAAGGTAATATTCGTATATATATTTTGATCAATTATACAATATAATAACAAGACAAACCTTCCTACACCTTATTCTATGGATTTAGCAGTACCCTATTTTAACTATGAGCTTCATTATAACATAAGTAATTCAGATTACCAATCGCAGATGTTCTTCCGCTTTTAAACATGATTAAGGACGATTGGTTAAAGCCGAAAATAATACAAGAAAGAGACGTTATGATAAAATACGCGCGAATAGCGCGTATGCTTATAATAGTAGGATACTTTATGATGTTGGCAACTTTTATTGGGGCTGTAATTCTTCCCATTTTCGGCATTTCAATAAGATACGTAACAAATAAAACAGACCCTGGCAAAGTAATGCCGATGCAAACGTATTATATTTATGATCGCGATCAAAGTCCAATTTACGAAATAACTTATATCCTGCAGAGTTTTAGTATGATGGCAGCCGCTGCTATGTACTCTAGTATAGACAATTTCCTAAGCATGCTAGTTTTTCACGTGTGCGGTCAGCTGGAAAATCTCAAGATGCGTATCATTCACCTGGATAAATTTAAAAATTTCGAGATTGGTCTATCGCACAGTGTGCAGGATCATATACGTCTCATCAGGTTATATTATATTTTTGAAAAATTTTTCGCCTCTTTTTATTTTTTAGCTAAAGAATTATAGAAAACTTAATACATGTATGTCATTGAACTGTTTTTATCAAAGTTTGAAATTTTTTTATTACTTCTACAATTAAAATAAAGTGTTCAAGTGTACGCAATATCCAAGATAATTTAAGTAAAACGAACCATTTACAATTCACATTGAAACATTTTCTGTAACATGATGTAAAATGATAGAATTCTTTTTAACTTGAATATTATAACACAAATAATAAAAACTAATATTTCTTGACATTTTTTCAAACTTTCTCTTACAGATTTATTAATAAGATTGACGATATATTTACATTAATATTACTTTG